TATATATATATATATAAACTCCCCAAACAGGCGAAAACCTACCAGTTTCACCCACTGTCTCTGCCACCTCCCTCCATGCCTGGTTCCTCCGGTTTGTATCCCGGTAAATAGTTCTGGTCGCAAAGAACCGGGTGATTTGCTACCGTAATTTCTCGTTTGGAATATGAGGAAATGAACTGCGGTATGTCTCTCTCCCAGCTTGCACGCGGTTTGATTGGCTAGCGCTTGTACTGTCAGATTTGCATTAAACGGGATTTGATTGGCTGACGCTTCCACCTCAGCTTCAAAAGTTGAACATTGCTCAACTTTTGAATCCTGAAAATCCTGGAAATCTTCGCTTTGCTTCCCCACAATGCAGTTCGGCGAAAAGCGAGGCAAAGTGACGTCACCCCCATTCAAAGTCAATGGGCAGAGAAGCGTTGGAAGATTTTTTTTAAGCTGCTGTGTAGACGTACCGTAAGTGTGTCTTTGTCAATGTAATAGTCACATTTTGCATACCTCATGACAAGAATTCAGGGTTAGTGTTAGGGTTATAAAAAATTGAAAAAAAACACTTATTTCTCTTATGTAACGTCCACACTGTTCCGTCGCCTGCTTCAACAGAGACGCTTCCCATTCACTTTGAATGGGGTGACGTCAAGCTTTGGCGAACTGCATTGTGGTTCCGTTGCTTCGCTTTGCCTCCGTTGCACGCGCTGAAAGTTGAGAAAAGTTCAACTTTTCTGACCAGCGGGCCATTTTGAATCGGCCCTCAACAAATTCAAAAAGTATAATGGAGTATGGCTCACAGATGAAACTTGTGTTTGCCTTATATTGTACTTCTCAAATATAGATGAAAACAGATATTACACAGTATTCATTTGTTATGAAGCCCACTTTTCAAACAATTCAGTCAATTAAAGTTGAAAATGTTTTCTATCAAATCTAAGTTGATAAGAAAAAAACCCAGTAACTTATTTCCATAACACGCTCGAAATAAACCCTTCCTATTTCCTCTTATTATAATCAATCTGAATCTCCTGTTTTAAGGAATGAGCTGCTAACAAGATAAATGAAACCCTATGGAGAGCTGTGATGTACAGTATAAGCTGTTTTTTTCTTACAGCATTTTCAAGGATTAAGCATAATTTACCTACATTTGATTTATTTTTCTGATTTATAACTTAACTTATCGGGAATATACCTCACCTCTAGTGAGTGGCCCAGCGCTTCGTATGTTTTTCTGTATGTGGCCCTCGGTGAAAAAAGTTTGGACACCCCTGCTTTAAATGAATTATACAATGTTTTCTTATTTATTTTCTAATAATATTTGCTAAACCCCAAAAGATAAAATTAGAATGTGCTAAGACAAGACACCTGAGGTTAAAAAGATTATCATAGGCAATGCTTTGCTGCTGAATCTAATAAGGAAACTAGGTCATTCTTTCAAAGGGTAAGCATTAATGCTCTCTCATACCTAACCCTCCTGAAAATCAATTTGGATGTTCACAAAAAGGACACATAAAAGTATGCAATTATTCATAGACCACAATTCTTGACCTCTGATAGTTGGACAATTCAATAATTCATAATCCATTAAATTTGAGCCTTTAGACAACCTTCTTTTTGAAATAATATCCTAATATTTTGCATTGACAAATTTGCTGCCGCCAGAGGGGATTTCAGCATTTGTATTTCAAGGTTAAAGTGACCGTTTGAAGCCAGGAGAGAGAGACACACACACACACACACACACACACACACACACACACACACACACACACACACACACACACACACACACACACACACACACACACACACACACACACAAAGACACAAACAGGTACTGTAGTGAAGGAAGTCCTTTAATGGTGAGGAAACAGGCAGAACTGGCAGAAGGAGATAAGACCCCGCAGACGGTGTTCTGTACGAAAAATGAATTGAAAACAAAATGGGTGGAGGACCGAAGAAGAGAGAGGAAGAAAGGAAGAGAGGGGGTGGCGATGGCGCGGGAAGAGGGTGAGTGAGTTATCAGCCATGCAGGATAGTGGTACACCTCATCTCTAGTTTGGGCGGCGCTTTTGCTTCTTTTTTTCTCAAGATAACAGGCGGTTCACTCCAGATTGTTGCTTTGAGTTTGTTGAGCTATTTGGTGTTTGCGAGATGTGAGCTTGTGGTCAGTACTGCAGGTAGATTTTTAGTCCTGTGTTACGTTCTTATAACAGGATGACGTGTGGAAATTGGCTAAACTGTAACTGTGCAGGCAATACAGTCCTTTATACAGCACATTTCTGTAATTGTATTTAAATATATATAGTCCTGCTAACACTTTTTATACTCTGAACTAGTTCCATTAATTACCGTATTTCCATATTCAGAGACCGTGACACTTCTTTTTGTCTGAAGATTGTCTTGTTTCGTTTTACTTTTTTTACTGAGGCCTGCAGTATATTTGGGGTGCACCAGTCTGCCAGCATTGAAGTGACGAGACTCCAGCAGTTTCTTATATACAGCCCTGGATGTCAGCCATTCACATGGTGTATGCCACCCAGTAGATCACGTTCACCACGGCGAAAGTGAAAGGGAACACGGCCCTGGCGTAGATGTCGATGGTGTCGGCATCAATGGGCTTGCAGACGCATTTGGAACAGCACTTCTTGTCCTCCGTGCTCTCCTCCGTCTGCCGGGATCTTCTCCTCCTGGGCTCGGACTCCTCGCTGCCGCCCTCCCTGGGGATTTCACTGCTGGAGCGCTTGGGCCGCCCGTGGCGGTTGGAAATCATCACGCCCTGGTTCATTCCGGTGACCGACAGGGAAAACAGAACCATGGCCTGTTTGCCGTTCTTCACAATGGACTGTATGGAGGCAAAGAGAGAGAGGCGTGTCAGCACTTTCTGGGGCTTTACAGGCAGTTTTTAATCAATCAGCAGCAAATGTAGTCAAATCCTGCAAAATCGTTGTTTCAACCATCAGTCATCTAGTTTAATAGTAGTCTAGAAAGGAAATACTAAAAGACAAAAAGAGATGGAATGATGTTTTAAAAATGCATGTTTACGCGATTTGAATATTGCACCTTCCACAATTTCTTCATAAAAAATCCCAATAGATCTAACAGTGAAACACTTCTTGATTAAACACCTTGAATGTTTAGCACCATCTGTTTACACTCCTTTCACTTTATTATAGAAATACTTGGGCTTTTTTACATATTACAACATCATCTTTTGGATTTTAGTTTTAATAAAACTTTGACCCATCTACTTTAGATATAATGATAATGAATCAACAATCAAGAACAGCAAAGAACAACTCCTGTCACACAACACATTGGCTAGTATGTGAGTCATTATTAAAGAAACAATGTTATTTAAAGAGCAACTTTCAGGTTTTTTACTACATTTATGCTTAACCTTGCCTGAAAATTACAATTAAAAAAGTTAATGCAGGATTTTATATGTTTTACAAGACATAAGGGCAAGAATTCAGAGGAAAAGGAGCCGTTTTGAGCTCTGCTACTAAAAACTGCTTTTTCTTTTTACGTCAAACGCGTCATATTACGCCACATGGGGGAGCAACTTTCTCGGACTCGTTCTCTGCCCAATCCGCGGTAGTAGTTTGTAGTTGGTTTGAGCGGTTGTGATGTAGTGAGCTGGTATTTTTTTGGTAATTTTACATTGCATTTCACCATTTTTAATCATGGTGAGGACATCGAGTCCACAGTTTCCCTCAGGGGAAAAGGACCGGAACTAGCTTTCGTTCCTGGGTGCGTTGTACATCCACCTCCCTGCAGCACATACTCTCCACAGCTTTAGCAGGAAACCGTATTACATCTCTCTCCCCCCCTTCGCTGCTCTCTCTCTCTCCCCTCCGGTACACAGTACCATAAGACATAGTGTGGAGTTGCATTAGGTAACGCTGTGGTGGCTGTACTGCTCCAGCCATCTACTTTGTGTTTGTTTCCCCCTGTCTGTGTTGTTTGTGTGGGCGTGGTGGCTGTCACTCCACTCACCTGCTGCAATCAGCTGTGCACCCTCCCCGACTACACACCTGCTTTCCATCAAGCCATTTACAACGGCATATCAACGGAGGCTCCACAACCTTTCTCCGCCAGATCGTCAAGTATCAGCCGTATCTCGCGTCTCCCCTCCGATACACAGCACCGTAAGACGTAGTGTGGAGTTGCATTAGGTAACGCGAGATACGGCTGATACTTGCGCATTAGTTTCTGTTATGGATCAGTATCAACAGTCCTGCCAGTAACGTTACTATATTATCAATGTTACCAGTATTTTACAAAATTAAAACCGGGGACATTTTGAGTTTTGCCGTCAATATATCATTAACATAACCAATTTTCTTCACTGTTAAAGAAAAAAGGGGGACAATTCTGGTTCAATGTAATTCGTACATTTTAACTGTTGGATACAAACAGAAGGACTAGCTCATATGANCACCCTGTTTCCATCAAGCCATTTACCAACGGTCTTATCAACGGAGGGCTCCAACAACCTTTTCTCCTGCCAGATCGTCAAGTATTTCAGCCGTATCCTTCGCGTCTTCCCCTCGGTACACAGGGCACCGTTAGTGTGGAGTTGGCATTAGTGTAAACACTGTGGTTTAGCTGTAGGACGAGTATTAAGGCCCAACCACTTAGAAAAAAAATTATTTTTTTTTGTGTTTAGGTCGTAATTTAAATAATTACGAGAATTTTAAGGTCATAAATTACTTTGGAAGATTAAAAGTCGTATGTTTTCATAAGGTGACTTGAGAAGGGAAGGACAAACCAAGCAGCCCGTTCCTGCCAATAAAAAATGGAGGGAAGCAGTACTTTAGGGGTTTTAGGTTTTTTCTTTCAAATTAAAAAACGAAAAATTTACTTAATCTTTTTGGGCCACATCCAGCATCAGATTATCATAAGTATTAGACTTTGAAAAGGTGTGCAATGGAAACCATGTCTATTTATTTCGAAGAAAGGAACCAAACGGACTTGGAGGGAGATTGTCTCCTTTCTGCAGGAGGAAATGGCTGGTTCTGGCCGACTACAAGGCTATCGGTTGGTTACATCTACGAGCTGTTCAAAGGGGATTTGTTGTTTCAGAAGAAACGATGAGACTTGTAATCAAGGCTTTCGATCCAGAAGGAGTCTAACGATAGCCTTGTAGTTGGAATCAGATGAGCTCCCCATTGAAATCAGGACAGCAGATCTTGCCGGCGCAGACTTGAAAATCTCTTTCCAACTCCAACTTCGAGCGATAGAATTATTACAAATCACTTATCATACTAATAAAGGACTGGCTTATCTAAAGCATGTTGAGAGCACTTGAAATGTTTTAGGCTCTATGAAACCTAAGTACTTATATGATTCTGTTTTCTTCAAGTTTGTATCTTCGTGGTCGAATGGCACTTATTGTAAGTTCACTTTGGATTAAAATCGTCAGCTAAATTGCAATGTAATATAATGTAGTCGGCCAGATCCAGCCGTTTCCTCCTGCAGAACGGAGACAATCTCCTCCAAGTCCGCTCTCAAGTCACTTATGGAACTACGACTTTAATTCCGACTCGTAATTATTACTTTATTTCTCGTAATCATTACGACTTTGTTTCTCGAATATACGACTTTATCTCGTAATTATGACTTTATTCTTGTAATATGACTTTATTCTTGTATTATTACGACTTTATTTCTCGAAATCTCTCTGTTTTTTTTCTCTAGTGTGGCCCGACATAGTGTGGAGTTGCATTAGGTAACGCTGTGGTGGCTGTACTGCTCCAGCCATCTACTTTGTGTTTGTTTCCCCCTGTCTGTGTTGTTTGTGTGGGCGTGGTGGCTGTCACTCCTGGCTCAACCTCCACTCACCTGCTGCAATCAGCTGTGCACCCTCCCCGACTACACACCTGCTTTCCATCAAGCCATTTACAACGGCATATCAACGGAGGCTCCACAACATTTCTTCGCCAGATCGTCAAGTATCAGCCGTAGATACGGCTGATACTTGCGCATTAGTTTCTGTTATGGATCAGTATCAACAGTCCTGCCAGTAACGTTACAATATTATCAATACTACTTTAGTTATAGCCTGATATATGATAGCTAACTTTACAATGTTGTGATGTCACTCACCAAGACAGCTGCTCTGTTTTCCACTGGTTCTCCACACACCAAAGCTCCATTTCTCTCCGATGGCCGTTATTTTTTCTAATCCTTGGCTGCTCCTGGTCTCTTGGACGCATATCAGGCTCATAATTATAATCATATGCATTTGAATATATATTTTCAACCTCTTCTGTGTCAAAACTAGCATTGTGATCCATGTTTATTCATACGTTAGACCGGCCGCTCTCCCCCATGTTACGTCACACGCGGGAGGTCACGTGCGGAGGCTTTTTTATGCAGAAGTGAAAATGTCCTACTAAAACGATGCCAGATGTCACTGTAGTGTATATTTCTGTATATTTTTGGGAAAATCTAGTGTATTCATCATTTTCCTACACATTTATTCACTGGTGTCTCTAACCAGCAAATTGCTCTTTAAAGATCTTTTAAAAAATTGACACTTTATTTCTTTTGAGCAGTTAAAGAAGGATTTCAATATCCCACAGTCATGTTTCTTCAAATATTTGCAGATACGTAGTTATGTCAGGACCCACTTCTCTCTAGCAGCCCCACAGAGTACCTGGATTGATGACTGTTTCAATATGGATTCCTGTGACAGGGGTCTGGTGTCTGTATCTATATGACATATTCAGAGGGTCGCCGCTCCGTCGCTTAATTCACTTAATGAGGCAATGGGAGGAAGAAGCTGGGAATAACTATATCAGTACTATTTTGGTAGGCAGGCAATTCGCATTTGTTCCACTCATCCTCAATTGTGCATCAGACATGGGCTGCTACAATGTAAGGTTTTGGCATAGGTTTACATCTATTCTGCAAGTAAAAACTGGCCGATTTTTACCCAGGCCTGACCCCAACCTGCATCAGGTGCAGTCGGCGGACACCGGGCCAGCCTAAGGGTCACATGTTTTGGGACTGGTATATTTAAAACCTTTTCGTACATGTAACACGGCTGTGGATGCTAACCCATTTGACGCATTTATTTGGCGTGAGTCACACAGGAGACACGAATAACAACTGGATCAGGCTGAGGGCTGTGGCATTCTCTACCCTCATTGCTAGACGTCTGATACTCCTTTAGTTGGAAGAGGGCCGACCGCCACTCACAAAGCGGCTGGGGTAGAGGAAGTAATGGTCCCATCTTAAACTTCGGAGCAGCTAAAGCCACATCACCCGGGGCTCTATTGCAAAGTACTATAATGTCTGGCAACCATTTCTGTCCTACTTTTGAGAACGGAATTCTCTTAACATTGATAATAATGTAGCAACCCCCCCCACCCACATGTTTTTTATTCATTTATGTTTTCATTTTTTACTTTTGGTTATTTACCATGTATTTTTAATTCAATAATTTATGTGTATGTTTACTTCTTATATACATATTTTGTACTCTTCTGGATGTCAATTAATATTGTGATATACTTTCTGTGTGTGCTGTATTTTTTAATGTTGAGTGGCTACCTGTTTGTTATATTGTGGAAAATCAATGAAAATATTTTGAATAATAAATAAATAAAATAATAATCTTTTGCGATGAGGGAAAACCAAACTGGTAAAAATGCTAAACTCATTTCCAGGTTTTGGACTCATTCCCTGCACCAACTCTTTAAAACATGTAACCCCTGCAGACTGACCTGAATCCATTCTTCTTACACCATACTGGATGGTATTGCTGTGGTTAAGACAAACGTTATGAAAAGGTGATTAAAACGTATTCATTAGCTGCAGCTGTACCAGACATTATCAATGCAGGTGGATAATAATCATGGACAATGTCAGATTACTAATAACAGACCAATATCGACCTTCATAATATTCAAAACAGTCACCATTGAGTTGACAGCATTTAACGGCCTCTCCACAGTCATGTCGCACATCAATCCTCTCCACAACGAGTTAGCACTGGGGCAGCAAGAGAGAGCAG